TTCCCCGCTAGTTCCACCCTTCTCGTTGGTGCTTCCAATATAAATCGATTTTTCACGGGTAGCCAATTTCAAGCTTTCAATACAAAGATAAAGAGAATTTTTGTAGTTTAATCACTGTAGAAAAGTCTCATTCATCATTCAGGAATCTCTCGTCTCTGTTTACGTGTTCACAGTATTCACAATATAATCTTTAAGTCTCGCATAAGAAGTACTGCAAATTCGTTCTTTTGGACCTTTTAGTAGTCAGTGAATTAGATCACATCTGTGTTTGCTTATCCTTTCCAAAATTTGCACTGCTGATGCAAAGTTGTAATTTTTGACAGCCTTTGGTAGATCGGAATTTAACTTTAGATTTGTTACAATTTCAAATGCACACAGTAATGTTTGTTGCTCAGTAATAAGAAGTTTTGGAGTCAACTAGATTTTTATAAACTAGTCAGATAATTTCCTGATGTACACAAATAAGGGAGAGTCTTCTTTAGCGTTTTCACTGTTGCTATAAGAATCTCCAAAAACTGGAAAAGAATTTTGAATTCGAAATTTTTATTTTCTATTCTTCATTTCTAGGTTTTGAAGTGCATTATTATCATTTTTTAAAATTTCAATTCTTTCCCTCATGACTACACAAACCGAAGTTTCTTTTCAAGGAAAAGGAGCAATTTTATTGTTTTTTCCTTCTAATTCTTTTCTGCATATCGTGTTGAGTATCTGATAATTTAGGATTCCTGATCCCTGCAATCTAGGACTGAATGAGACACCGGAAATTGAGGCACGATTCAAGGATTACAAGGTTTGCTCAGTGATGTATACTGTGTTGTGCACCAAAACCATTACTCTGTACATTTTTCAGGTCCTTCGACGCGCCGATAAGGTTGACGACCATTAAATTGTTTCAAAGGAGACTTGTTAGAGTACTTACTTTTCGTTTGTAGTAAGTTAGTAATGTGAATGTCAGGTTATATCGATAAAGTCATCAATGGAATGCTTCTATTTCTGTTTGTTTTGTGTTAAAGGTCAAACTCCGTTAGTACCCTGATGCCATTGTGGGTCAGTATATTCTGCAACCTGTTTTTTGTGAGAATGCAGCCGCTTCAAGGAATTGCTAAAACTCGTCAAGGCCTTTGTCAATATACGTTAATCGCAAATCAGTGAAATGATCTTCTTTAGTGCTAAAACTTGT